TTATACAAACGTCTCGATGGCCTAGTGGTAAGTATAACATTGCATGTAAGTATGGCATATTTGCAATCCTGGAGTTGTAAGTTTGAATCCTCAACAATCATGGTTTCAGATTTCTTTAATCATTTTTTTTAATTATATGCACCATTAGTTGATGAATCATTTCTTTGAATTCTTATGCATTTTCATTACTTTGATATAAAGATGAATATGCATATTTTCATAATTTCAGTTTATATAATAATACGATATGTGATTGACATGCACAAAAACTTTGTAGTCAAGTTTCGCAAAATATAAAATAAAATAAAAAACATTAAAAAAATAATGTTTCATTAAGATTTGAACCTCCACCCTTCAGTTTGAAACTGAAAGTGTTCACTCCTTATCCGCGCGGGTAGTTAGGCAAGTTTTGTGTCGTTAACTTTGAGTTATACATAATCCATGCGTACCATTATGCTTTATTTAAAATTCGTATGATTTACTTCGTAGGCCGATTTTTACCGACAAAAAGTCGTTGAATATTCAAATGTTTCAGGTCAATATTGACAAGCAATACATGTCAACTTGCTTTTATCTCGTGATCCATGGAAACTGCTATAGAACAAATCAATATTTCGTTGAAGAAATATCGTCTGCTTAAAGTATTTATCGTCTGTTACATCTTATTTATTCAGTGTTTATTTTCATTCTACCTGGGTACTTATGAGAATAATGTACAACCTCAGTCCTGGGAGAGCAACTTAAACTTCTTATAACTTTTAAAGTTTAGAAATCTTATGAATTATACACCCACTCGTCATACAATATCTTAACTGATTAGCGTTATTATTATGTCAAATTAAAGAATTAAAACCTTATTGAAATAATTAACGTATAGCATTTTCACTTTTCAAATTAATTTTCGTCTGCTTATAATACCCTTAACGAAAAAAATAGTGCAACAATTATAATTAAACAATCGTATATATATGTAATTTAACCATCACTGACGAACAGAAATAAAATCTTATAGAATTTTTGAATTTGCAAGGAAGTTAAACTGTGTGTTTAAAGAATGAGTGTGCGAATTCTACATTTGAAGAGTTATTCATAGACTTTGTTAAATAACTCTATATTGTAGATTGCTTGAAGATATTTTAACTATTGAAACATGTTTGATTTGCTTATTTGATGTATCCAAAATTGGAAGAAAGTTAAAAGGTCATTTTATACTTATAAAACATAACATGTAAGTTTAATGCATGTTTTTGTTTCATATACACGGTAGTGGGACTTACATCGGATATATTCGTAAATATGAGTCAAAACAATCTCGAAAAAAAATCAGAGGTAAAAAATCGTTATCTTAGCTAATATGACAAATATTTGACCTGGATTTGATTTTATATTTTCCTTAATACATGTCTGATATGATGATAATTTTAAGAAAACTATCAATTCAGAATTGTTATGTTTGGACGAGACTAGAATGTTTTTATACTTAAGAAGCAATATTTCCTTTTTCTTTTACAAAAGCACATCTAATCCTATTGTTTGTCTTGATATTTGTAAATATTACATAAATAACCTCCAGGTAATTATCGCATAGTATATATACTAACTGACAACACTAATGAAGGTTTTTAAATGATACAAGTGAAAGAAACATACAAATATACTAGAATTATACCAGAAATTCAAAAATACACAAAAATACAACACAAAACAGCACGGGCGTTAAGCGAATGGCAATTTTACAATAAGAAAATAAATAAAAGTGGCTGATTCAGGATTCAAACCTCCGAGTTTAGGTTTGAGCTTCTGAAGTGATAGAACTTCAACTACTTCGCTGAGAGGGATTCTGAATCTTTACCATTTAACAACTTGTTATATACACGAATATCGATTAACAAGTATATCGAACTTACGTTTACGGAAATTACCGACTATGAGATCAAACGAAAGATTGTCAAGTCAATATTGTTGGACAATAATTGGGCAGTTCTATCTTAAAGTGTATAAAGCGATATATCAGATACATACCGAATTCCGTTAGGGCCATCGTGGTTTTGCGCTGTCGCCCTAAGGGCGAAATCGCGAAATGACGATGCATTGACGCGAAAACACGATGCGAAAAATATCGCGTTTTCGCGCTATTAATATCGCGCCCTCGATATCCCAACGTGTTTTCTTGTTTTCGCCTTCGCGGTCAGTAGGGCGAAAACACGATATTTTTCACATTGTGTATTCGCGATCTTGTATCGTGTTTTCGCCCTACTGACCGCGAAGGCAAAAAACACGATACAAGTGCATTTCAAACAGAATTAGTTCTGAACATCAACAACTATGTCTTTTTCAGGCTACAGTACTGGATAACTTGACCACTATCACAGTATCTGAACATTTTGGAAAAGATTGGTTCACGTTGTGTATCTGTCCTAGTATCAAAATCGAAAGATATCATTTTTCACCCCTTGCATTTTGCAGTCTTCTTTGAACCTTCCTAAGTTATATCGAAAAAATTCCAAATGGGGTCCTTAGGTTACATGCTTGAAAGAGAATGAAAATTTCAAGTTTTCAGAAAGTCACGTTTTTTTGTTTGTTTGACTAAAGTTAACCTTTACTTGCTTTACTTGTAAAAACTTTTCACAGATTAGCTCAAATTTTCTTTAATATGTAAGGTTTTTGCTGGTACTATTATAAAGAATCATTATAGGTAGTTTGAGCTTTAAGTAATATATATTTTGCCTTATCACTTCAACTTGTTAACACCTTTCTTTGTAAAGAAAATGCATCTCTAAATACATTATAATATTAAAACATAACACAAATAGTATTTCCTTTATTGAATTTTTTATTACACAAAAAAGCCCAGTATTACCCAGAAAACCCCGGGTATTCCCAGTTTTACCAACTGGGTTGGGCAATACTCATAAAACCCGGTTTTTTTGCCAACCCTGATACCGATAAAGTGTCCACGTGTAACTTGTATATTTGATTTAATCCTGCACGTGGCACTTTTATGTTAAAGATAATCATACACATGATACTTTATACATATATTTTATCAAGTCGATATAGAAAACGCGGCAATATAGACATATAGTGAAAAGCGGACGATATTGATGTAGAGGGAAAACTTTGACGAATTAATTTTATAAAACGGGAGAATAGAAAACTGGTATAAATAAAATAAAATCTGGCTTCTACCATGTATATAATCAAGTTATATCAATCAAAATGTTAGCTTTTTTGTAGTTTTATTGATATTTTATCCATTAAGTAACTAAAAAAAACTTTCTTCTATAAATACTAATCAACTGATTCAAGTATCCACGTGTCACTTGTGTATTTGACTTAATCACGCACCGACACTTGTATATTTCAAGTAATCATACACCTCACCCTTGTATATTTAATCAAAGCACTGAAAGCACTGGAGGGTCGCTTGCGCTGACAAATTTATATGACATTATATTGCTGGTTATCACTTGAAAGGCCAAATCATGTCCTTTTGCAACTTTTTTGAAAAAGTTCATGTCATATTCAAGTGGAAATGATTGAGTACAAAGGAAAGAGCAATATTTTGCCATATGATTTAATTCAAAAAGATTTATCATTGACATCCAACAATTACAACACGGTTTATCAAAAGTACTAACAAGAGCGATCGGTGATCACATGTGTCGCCTCATTATGGCCAATTTCATGTTGGGACAAGTTTTGTAACAGACAGTGCACAACTAGACTTGGTACTGATCATTCCTGTAAAGTTTGGATGAAATTGCACCACTAGTTTATGACAAGTCCGGACAAGCTTTTGTGTTTCTGGCAACACACAGAAAAAAACACCTTTTTATCAAAGGGCCATAATTCGGCCAAAAATCATTCAATTTGAAAACCCGTGTAATATGCGCAAGGACTTGAGCTACAGATCAATCCTGTAAAAAATCATTGAAATTGCATTAGTGGTATAAGAAAAGTAGTCCGGACAAACTTTTAAAATAAAAATTATTAAAGGGCCATAACTCTGACAAAATCATTGAACCGGAAAATGCTGACAATATGCACAACTAAATACATGACTTATCAATGTCACAATTTCATCCAGAGAGATTCATGAAATTTTCAGAAAAAATAAGTCAATTATGGTCAGTTAAAACTAGGACAACACTAAATGTGATTGATACTCCCAGTCCCACAAAACTGCTTTGGACATTAGGATGTAACAGAATACCTTGTAAAAGAATTGAAATAGAGTTATGTTCATGGGCATTTAAAGAAAGTAAGTTGTGGTTCTTGTATGTTGCATTTCCTTTCAATGTGGTTGACCATTGATGAAGTTTTATTGAATAACTCTATAAATACTGCAGATGGAGAAATGGTTATTGTACACTGCACTTTCTCTCATTCGCTTGACCATTGTATGAAGTTGTATTGTATTCCAACAACTAGTGTTCAAGTGATGCACTGGACAAAAAGTACCAAAGGGCACTTATGTAGGGTGTCTTTGGTTTCTGAGGAGATTTGTTCAAAGAAATTTTTGACGACCCACAACAACTGATGGTTGGGGATCACAATAGTTCACCATGAGCACGTTGTGCTCAGGTGAGCTAAAAAGTAATGATCAAAATACAAGTTTGTGGATAACCTCGGCAATGCCAACATGACTGTTACGATACCTCTATTTTTTAAAAAGAAAAAGTTTAGCTAAAAAGGGGCATAACTGCATCAAAAATAATTTATTGTGGCCAAAATTGAACTAAATCTGTCTTTTGATAATAACATGGCAAGTATCAACACACTTCATTTCCTTCATAAGTTGTCCTGCAGAAATCAATTGAACACCATAACTTATAACATGCTTTTCAGAAAAAAATGACATAACTTTTAGATTATTTCACAATAAATTATAATTTCAAAAGTAGCCAGACTTTATTTGAATGAGGATGAAAAGCCTATAAACAAACAGAAATTTGTGGAAAATACATTTATTTCTCAAAAAAATATGATAAATAAAGAGTACTACTTATGTGGCCCATCGATTGGCACTGGCTGTAGCACAGGCTGTGAAAGGGGTTCCTTACCTCCCAAGGTTTAAGGATATCCTTGGGGACCTCCATAGGTTTTATGATCACAGTCCAGTACGCACATCAGGCCTGAAGGACATACAGGTAATTACTCATGTAACCAGTTTTTTGTGTGATTCCACTTTGTACTCTACTTAGAATTAAAATAATTGACTCCTAAGTGGAAATTAATATAAAAAATGAATGCCTGAAATAGAGCAGAGAATTAACAGTGTATAATCTTCACTTTGTTTTGTATATGATATCATGTGCAGATATTTATTGATCTCTATTTTAGAAATTGCTGAATGAGCCAGTTCTCAAGCTGGTAGAAGCTAAAGATGTACGGTGGCTGAGCCATGACAAGGCAACAAGCACGCTGATGAAGTGCATTCCTTCAGTGTTTACAAGTCTGGAACGGGAGGCTGAGGAAAGGAATGATGTCAGGGCAGCAGGACTTGCAAAGTTCACCCAGGACCATCGCTTTGTTATGTCTCTTCATAGATGTGCGACACTCTACCTCATCTCACAGAACTATCAACTGCCATGCAGGTATGTGTAGATTAAATGCAAGATACTCCCAAGTGAAATAGTATCATTTAAAGTTATGTTTAAAAATTAAACTATTATTTTAGTTTATTTAAACTTGTCTTTTTCAACAGGTAAAAAATTAAAATGCTGAAAACAGGTATACATTGTACGTTTGTTTGATATCTTCAGGCCCGGGATGCTATTTACACTACTGTAAAACCACTTGTGACTGGGACACTGTCCATTCTGCGGGGTCTGCAGACCATGCCAGGGGAGGCCTACCAGAGTGCAGTGCAGAGGGTAAAGGACCTTCAGGCTCAGGGGTTCAACATCAAGCCTCCTTCTGAGCAAGAGACTGTAAACTTTAGAGAGAAGGTAAATTAAATTGTGCTTAATCTAAAAAATTATTTACATAGAGAATACTGAAGTTTCCCTATATGTTGTTTATAAAGTTTCCTAAGCTGAAATGAACAAGGTGTAATTTAAACATTATATTGAAACATGACATTGTATTATTTTAGGTGTTCAATCTATTTATGGAGAACATTGTAAATAATTTGGAGGGCCGGTTTCTGCCTGTTATACAGAAGTTTGAGGTTTTTAACACAAGGAAGTTTCCTGATGACAACAGCACCAGTCATGGGGAAGAGGACATCAAGGTATAATGAAATAAAAATTTTCTAATGAACAGATGCTTGTTGTTCTTTTATTTAGCTAACTGGACAAGTTAATAAAAAAGCATGATTGTTGTTAAAATAATAGAACTAGAGTGTTTTAAATATTTTGATATTAAACAAATTCTAACTGTTGCAGTATAATGTCAAAGAAAGTAGTTTGTAACTTCATTTATAAGATAAAATTGTATTAAAGATGCTGGCTGAGCACTTTGGACTTGTGGTTGACAAGACCCTTCATGAGTGGCGCCAAGTTAGGGAATCCATTGCTGACAGTGGGCTTGCTGCAGACAAGGCCATGGAGTGGGTTACCATAAATTTGAAAGTCAGCCACACCAACCTCTTCAAACTTGCTGCTGTGGGGCTGTTGATCCCTACATCAACATCAGGTGAGAAAAATAAAAACTACAAATATAAATCAAATCATACAAACTATTCAGTCACAAAATTTCAAATATTAAAGAAAACAAAAATAAAACAATAACTAACTTTTTGCAACGTAAACAACTACTCTTTTTTTTGTTTTATTTTGATTCATGAAAGAATTTTTTTTTACAGACTGTGAGCGTGGATTTTCCACCCTCAAGAGGGTTAAAACAACACACAGGGCATCTTTGAGCCCACCTGTTCTAAATGCCATCCTTACTGTTGGGATGTTAGGACCAGCAATAGAAAAGGTTGATATCAACGCCATGGTGAAAATCTGGCACAAGGAGAAACCAAGGCGTAGCCAGCTCTAGACAGTCATGAATTAACTGATAAAACATTATTGTTTTATATTTTTGTGTGATATATATTTTTCTGTTAAAGTTATTTGAAAAGACAATAAAATATGTAAATACTGAACACCTTTTGTTTGTCTAAACTCTCATTAAATATGCACCAAAATACACCATTCCATTGTAAGGTTTCCACCCCCTCCAAGTTGCGCTTACAGAAATTTCTGGGGAAGGCCCCGGAGTAGATAATTAATATTTGCAAATCAGGAAGGAATTTAAACAAATTCAGGCAATATGACAGAATCACTTTCAAAGATGAACATTGAAAATTAATGATTCTACACAGAAAAAAATCTGCTCTCTTTGGCTTGTATGATGGGCTATAAATCTCGGACATAATAAGGCGTCATATCTGAACTACTTTCAGTCACAGTTAAATAGCAGCCTCCATTTACCAACATAATACATAATATATGTTTTTCAATGCCATTCGTGAAAATATTTAATCTGCTGTTCACTCTATGAAATACATTTGGATCTTAGATGCAAAAGAAAAAAATATCCATTATATGATATGTTCCAAATTTTTCATGCTTACAAAAATTATATATTTATGTAAATTAGTTCATTAACAAGCAAAACTGTAATTTCATTGTTCTGAGGAACAATCTGCAGTGTTTTTTTTAAACAGCCATACTCCAAGACCGACAAGTTTTCTGTGGCATTATATTATCCAAAATTAACAATATTGGGAAATATTGGAAAATAAAAATATTGACAAATACATATATAAAATAAAACCAATGTATAATAATTCAAGTCCATTTATAGTTGAAACTGTGGAATTTATCTATGTCAACGTCTAAAGGGATTCCAGTTTAATTAATCTTATGTTCTCCCATAACTGAAGCTATTAATATCTGAAAATAAAATATATCGTGATGTTGCAATTAATTGTTTATCTGGCACTGAATTTAATCTACATCATAAAGACAATGTGCTCCATACTTAACAATTTACCAGTAAATCGAAGACATATTTCTTGTATAATTATTTTTATCATATCTTTGCATAAATTATCATAGTTAGCTTACACCACTATGTAAAATGCTAGTTTCTGGTCACAAGAAAATCAAAAGCAATGGATGGTGTGATATTCAAACTAAATTAATTTTACAAATGCTGCTGAAAAACAAACAAGAATATTGTCAATTACTTTCAATTAAATGACAGGACAAATATTGGTTTCAATTAATGCTGCTGTACAAGAATAGAACACCACTTCTAACTGAAAGCAGAACCATAGTGTATTCTGGTGTCAGGAAAATAATTATTATAGCTTATTTTTGTATCTCATGCTTTCTTTAGAAGGATAAAAGTATAAATTTAAAGTGGACAACTTTACCTCAATTGGTATTCTGTATGCTGAAGTTTCCTTTTGAATACAGAAATAACTCCTTCACATAGTAAGCTTCACTTCAATTAAGTTGTTCCAGAAATAATACATTGTCTACTGGGTACTTCAGACAGCTTTATTTGAACAGAGTGGGCAGCTTCTTACTGCAAAGTGGAAGCAAGGTTTAGTAAAACAATTAAACAGCATAAGTTGTTCAAATACGAGAAACTAGAAGCAAGGCATTATCTGTTATTGTTTTTCAGAAAAATAATTGAAAAATTTAACTTTAGAATTGATCATTTCACTATGAGCATACATTTCAATTTTTTATTTTCTAGTGTAACATGTTTACAATAATATATATTTTTGTATGATTACTAGTCCTACAATGAATTAATGTAATTCTGGAAATTTAAATACTTAGTCATGATTTTGAATTAGTAAAGGTCTGCAATGATATCAGTCAAACATTAGAAGTAAAATCCTATGTACAACAACATTGGTGCAAGTTGAAAATTTGGAAAAACCCTTAAACTGTAATTCATTCATTAATCATTTTTCCACATAATCTAATAGTAAAACATGATGATATTTGTGACAAAATCCTGGACTTCAGGCATATGCACCATGCAACAAGTGATTACAGTTAACATGTTTCAAAAGTTTGATGACTCTAAGTAATTGCTAAGGGATCAGTTATTACCACAAGATGACATACGTTAGAACTTTATGATATTAGGAAAGACCTTTATTGACATGCAATCAACAACAGACCTAAATTTATTATTGAAAAAATGACAAACCTGTATGAATTTTTTTCTTCTCTGCAGCAGAAACCCCTTTCTTACAGATAATTTCAAAGAATCTATAACTAGGATCATCAGCATCATCATCATGAAGACTTCTAGGCTGAAACTTCATCACTTTTTGCTATAACAAACTGCCGGTTTGAGCTGTCTTGTCCTGTATACATGTATACAACTTGTCTGAACCAACTGTAACTTCACTGTTATCAAACAGTAACATGTCAGAAGTCATCTAAAAAAAAAAGCAAAACAAAATTTAATGTCTTATATTAAAGATCATGCACAAGCAATCAGTATTAAACGAGCAAGTTATATCATTTAACCACAATTTTTTCTGCACATATGATATCTGTGTTAAATATATATTAAATAATAACTTTAAAGGTCCATTTAGCCTTAGAAAAGATAAAAAAATTATTTTTGAAACTTTCCTTTTACATATCTTGTTGCACTTCTCAAATAGTTACGTTTACTCATTGACCATGTACATGTAGAGAAATTATCTGGCAATTGGTATAATTACATTAATTTAGTATTTTTAATGGAAGTCAAAATAATACTCCTCAGTCCTCACATTTTGCTACCTTTACAATATATGACTGTTTGTTCAGTGTTACTCTTTTCAGTTGTTAAACATTTACAATGCTCTAAATACATCATTAAAACATTATTGAACACATGTTTGACCTTTCTAAAGAATTACAAAATTATTTACCTCTGACACATTATATGTGCTTTTAAGATTTTCAATAAATTTTACCAGAGATTCTTTTACCTATACTCTTATTCTAACAGAAACAGAAAATAATGTAAAATGTACTTAGAGTTACACATTTAGTTACACACAACTTGACAGCAAATTATACATTTTTCAATATATAATAAAATACAAAAAGGAAAACTATTTCTCTCTGTAACCAAAGAGAAATCATAAATATTGTAAACTTCAGAATCATACTCTTATTACTACCTTTAGCATTAATGGCCTCTGATGGCTGAATTCTTAGGTTGTTATAATTTATGTACTTTTACAGTCAAAATGAGGTAAATATTTTTCAAGGAATTCTTCTTATAAATATATATGCGAACACAAAACAAATAAATTTAACGGTATGACAATAAGTTAAATTCAGTATTTGACCTTGATGGTCAGTCATCTCAAGGTCAATGTCATATATGAATTACTTAAAGGGACACGACTGAGGCTTTTGACATGACCGGATTGGAAATAATTTTATAAGATTGATTATATGATATTCTTTTTGATGTAGATCTCAGCAAAAAAACCTATATGCAAAAATTTCAGATCATGCACTCGCTCTGTTTTCCCAAAATGATTACTTGAACAGTGTAAAATATGTCCAAAAAATGAACAGTGTTGCCGAGCTTTTGATTCATACATGTATCGGGAAGAATAGAATAAGAATAGCACAAATATACAATTTTCAATGTATTTCTAAATATATTTCTTATCAGTATGTGCATATCATTCTGGACACAAGGAAAAAAACAACAGCATTTATTGCAAAAAAGCTGGTATACTGCTTTTGTACAGGAAATACTTCCATGAGGGTAATGTTGTTTTCAATTTTGACTACTAAGTCAAATATGTGTATCAAAATTTTCCAGAGCTCAATAAAATAAATGTGGGTTTTTATTATAAACAAACATTTAAAGAGAACTTACACTGAACAATACTATCATAGTATGTCTTGACCATGTCACTTTAAAACCCTCACACAACAGTGTTATATCACACACCTGAAATAAATGCATTTCTTATTTAACATTAATATGATTTTCATATCAACAATAAAGCATTCCCAACTTATAGGTATCTAAATCATTTGGCTTAATAGTCAAATCAGCTACATCATGTACATGTATATATACCAACTCAAAACAGGTCACTGCATCAAACTATTGGAACAAATCAAAAGCAAGTACAATGTTGACCATAACCATTCAGAAAATATCATTCATGCTAATAAAAAATACAATGATTATTTGTGAAATTAATCAGTCTAATCCCATGTTATCAATTTAATATATATTTTTCTTATATCAACAATTTTTTCATATTATTAGAAAATCCCCTAATCATCATGTAAATAAGGTTTTATATGATACACAGTCTACGTACTATCGTCCTATTTTGTATGCACTAGCATAGAGCAGAATGGGGAACCATGCACTTGTTTGTGGGAGAACACTTCTGGATCAGGACTTACCTTCTAAAAAAATCTAGTTGTAGAATCTTTCTTTATATACAGGCAAATATGACTGAGTGACAATACTTGAGCAAAATAAATAAAATCCAGCTGTTTGCATATGTGTTTGTCCTTAGTGGTCTCTTAATTCGCTCATTTAAAGCTTAATACTAGGTAATAATGTACATAAAGAGAAACAGTAATTCTAAAAAGAAAGTCCAAATAGCAATATGGAAAATGCTGCAGACTCAGTTTGATTGAGCCAGTTCATGGAAAGTACATGTACTGGAAAGTGCATGCTGCTGTTCACACCCAATAGCACCAGGTTAAGCAGTATTCAACATTTAAACATGTAATGGTAAAATTTTGAAATTAGAAACATTAGCAGGTGTATTTTTATGGCAGTGATCATGGAACCTCCAATGTGACATGTTAGTGCCATTCCATGAAAAGTGGCGTTTGATTCCCAAGGAATACAATGTGTGTTCCCTTAATGAAAAAAAGAATTGGGGAACTGAACAAACAGGATACTGTTCATCAAGATTCTGTGTATTTTTTTCTTTGTTTTTCAAAAACTTTGGTTTAGATTGTTTCAATAATAAGACTATAAAAACTGAATTTGGCAAAGTATTTGAACTCAGTTAGTGTCAGTGTGAGAACCGAATATAATATATGATAAACAAGATCATCAAGGAAAGGCGGCGTTCAATGAACACAGCCCCCACCCGACCCAGCAACAAAAGTCAGCGGCAAGGAGCCCAGGAGGACCCAAACGAAGCATTAAAGAATAATCAGACACCTCCTCTAGGACAGAATTACAACATGTAAGGCCTTACTGTTTGCATGTAAACAAAGTAGTTTTTTGACTTCCGTACAAAATACTAAATCACTTTAACTATACTGTTTGCTCAAAAGCAACAGCTGAGTCAAAAGTTGGTTCAGATAATTGCCCATTGAGTATATTTTAAGAAGTTATAACAGGCCACCAAAAATAACAGGCTTTTGAAAAATAAATTAAAATCATTTCTGGGGCATACTATGGGCCTTTAAGCCAGTAATACTATGTGCTAGGGGCGAGGACAGTAACTTGCATTTTCCAGGACTGTTTATCCTCAAACAAACCGAGCCTGCAACATTTTCAATTGTGTCATTTTGGGTGTTCTTAAGGGATTCTATTTTTCCTCTATGATATGCATTGTAAACAAACAATAATTTTTGGTACACCAATCTGCCATTATATAATGTCATGCTACAAATACCATGGTCAATAGTATTCATAGAATTATTAGTCTATTAAACTAATTTAATTTGTCAGAGAGACGCTGACATAATATTGGATGGGTGACAGTATGAAAAAATGTATGACAATCTGCTTAGAAACGAATATCTATGATTGAGTGAATAAAAACAATATTATCATATTTATCTATAACATCAATCTATTATCTAGTTTATTTATTATTATTAAATATTATACACTGTTATAATATACAAATAAGAATCCAGATTAATTAAATAATTTATAACTTTACAGTTAGTTCTGTAAAACCTTTACCTGTTATCTATATTTTTACCTGTTATCTATTAAATATAAAGGATATACCAAACAAATGCAAAAAAACCTAAAACATAAATATTTTTCAGTCCAAATGAATTCTAAAAATGTTAATTTTAGGTGGGGCGAATCGTCACTAAATTGGGACGAATCGTCACGGTGACGAATCGTTACCCTGTTACCAACAAATTTTATGAACAAATCTTCAAAAATTGATCACACGGGTGGCTCAGTTTCATAAAGTATTTTCTATTTAATCGAGGAAACTGAAAAATTACTAAAGAACTTACAATTTCTTCAAAATATCCTAGATGTCTGTATCAATTAACGAACTGACGTAAGTCGAAAACAAGGTTAGCTTTTAAAAAAAGCTAGTAGCGACTCGCTTCGTAATTTTTTTCAAGAGGTGTGTTTAAATGTAAAAATGACAGTTCTGTTAGCTGAAGAGACTTCAGCGAACATCAAAATAAAAGTGAAGTCAACACTGGCCCGGTGCCCGATGGCCAGTGTATATAAGTTCAGGCCAGAAAAGCCGGGATCCTATTAAAAAATATAGGGATCCCGAAAATTGACCAGTCTAAGAAGATGTTTTTCAGATAAGCCGGGATCCTATTAAAACATAAAGGGATCCCGTGAATTGACCAGTTCAAGAATATAGTTTTCAGAAAAGCCGGGATCGTATTAAAATGTAAATAGATCTCACGGATTGGCCAGTTCAAGTATATAGTTTTCAGAAAAGCTGGGATCGTTTTAAAACATATAGGGATCCAATTGACCAATTCAAGAAAATAGTCTTTGATTTTTCCAATTAATTAGGCATATTATTATTAGTATTGTGATTTCCGCATTTTAAGTTTGTTAATTAATAGCTCTAAATATATCTATATTCTAAGTTAAATTAATTTAACGTTCATTATACACAATAAAAAAATTAACGTTTAATGGCCTTTCATTACGACAACAATCAACACAAATATAGTTCATTAGGTTTTTCCTCCATATCTTATACGATCCCGGATCCCGGATCCCGGCCAGTAAATACATACACTAAATATCGGAAAGGATAAAATGACCGGAAAAAAGGAAAAATAAAAAATGCACAGAACCAGATGTACACTTATGTTAATTAACCAAACGAAAACTTACTACAGAGAAAACAGGTGAAATCGCTAAATCAGAAGTCAGTGTAAATATGATTTATTGAAAAGAATTCATAAAGACAAACATTTTAATCATCATTATATCTTTGCGCTCAAAACAATACTTGCTGATTTTTAAATATGGCGTGAAAATTGAAGGTTTTTTGACGCTATGTAAGATTAAATTTGATTGGCTAAATAATTTTGGATCCTAGCCCTGATAGATAAATATTTGTAGAAAGCTGGAAGCCAAGCTTCGATTAAATTTTTGGATAGCTTCGGAGTTTTAGGTTGTTTCTCAGTAAAATCCTACCGTAATACCGGCTCGCCGTGGCGAGCCGGCATCAACATGGCTGACCTCAATGACCTGTCACGTGATTCAATCGCGCATTGATATTTTTTCTGTACACAGCACAAATTTACTGTAATTTTCGATATCATGATACATTTCATAATGTATGATAACCCTCCTGTAATGAATGAAGGTACGGATTTTCTAACTTGTTACAGACCATACGGAACTATTTACTGCATGTATATTTCAGCCGAAATTCGGTTCTCCATAAGCTTCAGATGTAGGTCAGATGTAGCTTATAACTTTGACTCGCTTTGCGCAAGCGCAGCGACCCAATAAAGTGGCTACAGAAAACGCGGACAATATATAGACATATAGTGAGAAAGCGGACGATAAACAGATAAGAAATATTCAAGCAAAAATTAGAACTGAGAATAATTTAAAGTCATGATTCATTGTACAGTCTACATTTTAGTTGAACAACTGGAAAATTATTTATTAAGCATAAAGACTACCTCGGATCTTGAGGTTATATTATTAGTAGTGAAATGTTAGATGAATTAAATAGATTGTTACAGTTGAACGATCAAAACGTGGAGCTTAACTATGACACTACATTCAATTTAGGCGATTTCTACGTTTCTACGCTAGTGTGTCAGCACCCTATGTTCAAGGAAAGACCAACTGTACTAATAGCATTTATGTTGCAGGAGAGGAAATTCCAAAAATGTCATGAAAGTTTTATTGAAATACTTAAGGACAAAAATCTAAAACTAAAAGAAAAGCCAGTGAACATAATTATGGACAGAGAACAGCGTATTCTCAATGCATTTGAAAAATGTCTGCCAAAAAGCAAAATTCTTGTTTGCTGGAACCACATATTTAGTGATATCAAATTTTGGGTTAACAAACACGGCGGAACCAGCGATAATAAAAAAGTATATGACATGCATGTTTGAGATTTATTACACTCACAATCGCGCCAAATATTTGATACGAAATACCACGAACTTAAACAATCTTGGAGTGAAGCATTTCTTAATTACTTTCATGACAATATTTATGACACAATAATACAATATTCCGGACAATGGATACTTTAGGAAAGCAAATTATATAATCCCTATTCTGGTATAACACACAATGTTGTAGATGGATCCATAAAAATTGTAGATCTATTATAGCATAAAATCGGCTATTTTTCCCTATTTTGCCCATGTTATAACGGGGCCAAAACCATGCGTTAACATAGTCACGCGCTCTTGTTATAGCCCGGTTTTACCTATGCACAATACATAGAGGGCCCAGTAAACAAACAAAAAATGACGATTTGGCCTGTTTGCCAGAGTCATGCGCTCTTGTTATATTGGAATTATTAATTCGAGGGCCTCAGTCGCATAAGGTAACGGCGAGCAGCATTCAAGTAATTATGCCGGCAATACGGCGTATAGACATCGCCGCGCCCTTTCTTAAAACGGACAGTTGTCAGTGTAAACAAATAGAATCTGTCATTCAGTTTAAAATCCCCCGATTAACTTACAAAAATGGAAAGCACAAAATGAATATAAGAAAACGTTGTTTTATTGACGTTTATATTGATAAATGTTCTGTATGTTTCTTTGAGAGAATAATGTTTTATGCCTGATTTTTTTTAAACTTGCGTGCTTAAAAAAAACCGATTCTGAAATTGAATCTGATGTCACTGATCTTTTTCCTACCGCCAATCTGTAATCATTCTAGGAATTTCTGAGGCACCTGTTTTGTCTTGGGTAGAGTAATGTTATGTTTTTCTTAAGTTATTATATCTCCAAAGTTAAACTTTGTTAAATCAATTAAAATTTGAAATTTCGTTCGGTTCTCAAGTTGTTGGCCCCGGAAAAAATAAAACGCATACGTAAAACATGTAGAGTTGGATAAATACCGTTCAAGCACAAGGATTTAATGTTTGTGTTTTATATATAATATACATCATGAATCTGTTTTAAAATTTTATGCTATAATAGCGTCAACGCACGTTTATTTCGTGTTATAAAGTCTGCAGAGTCCCTCGGAACTGTTGGAGCCCTCGCCCTACCGGGCTCGGGCACCAACCGTTCCTCGGGACTCTGCAAACGTTATAACACGAAAAAACGTGCGTTAACCCTATATTAATACTCCCATTGATGTGTCATCCATTGATAATGATTTTGATTGTGGTTTATGTTGTTAGAGGGAAAACGAACTATTTGTTAATATATTTTACAATACTTCAATTATGACCAATTTTATTTGCAGTCTGAAAATATAATTTTTGATTTTATCATTTTAATTTAAAATATATCAATCTCATTATAGTTATTATATTTAAAAATATACTTATTATGAATTAAATGTTATCTATTTTGGCCAGCTTTTTCCGCTTTGTATATATTGTCATCGTTTTTCTTAAAACGTGTATTACATTTTCTCACTTAATATGGTTGTCTTAAGTACCTTAAGGGATTCGGTTAAATATATGAATGTTATATTCTTTATAGATATATACATATATAAAGTTGTTACTTTGATAATTATTATTATTTTATGTGTAAAATAAATTCATGTACCGAATGTGTTATATTTCTTGAATAAAATTGCAATGAAGTTCATTCTTTATCTTCGTTTTTATTGCTCGAAAAAATTATTACACTACACTATCATTATGTATTCTTTTATAATTTTATCAATGTCAGTTACTTCACATATCATTCTACACACTCTAAATCTATAACGCCCGCTTTTTTCCTCTATACCTATATCGTCCGCGTTTTCTCTATATATTTATATTGTCCGCAAAATGCATATCATGTTATAGGGCAAAGAACCGACAGGCTTAATCAGGTAGTTGACACCAGTTGTTGACACTTAATTGTCGTTAATTTGCCGAACGCGTGTCCGTCACACCAGTAGACGTGCATGCCTTCTTTTTACTTCTTTTTATCAACGACCTTTAAACTTTACAACTACATTAAACACTTGAATTTATAAATAAGATAGTGTTTGTGTCCAAAAAAACGATGGGAGATCGAGGGCGATAAAACGCAAACACGATATTAATTGCACGATAACGCGATATTTTTCGCATTGTGTTTTCGCGATCTCTTATCGTGTTTTCGCTTATAACATCGTGTTTTCGCGTCAATGCATCGTGTTTTCGCGATTTCGCCCTTAGCGAAACCGCGCTGGCCGTAACGGAACACCGTTGTTATATGAGCGAGTGAACAGTGTACCACAATTTTGCAGCTACTTCTACTTTTGATGCATATTTACGTTATTAGACTTTATATGAAATGACGATTGGCGTGGAAACTTCGGGTTATTATCTGGTAACTAATAGTTACCACAAAGTAGTCATTGTTCCGTTAACTGTCGTAAAATTGAAATATTTGTTCAATCTTCTAGGCCCTTCCGTACAAAAAGTATCCCTGTGTCGAGTTCGGTTTTAATTGTACATGATTGTATGAGCGAGCGTTTATTTCATTATGTTTTTTATGATTGTCAGACATTCTTTCTATCCTTAGAAGTTCAAATATATATACGTCATACATTTTACAAGTATTTTATCATCTGTTCTTGTTTACATCTTTAGCCACGCTACAAAATACTTCAATCTGTATTTAGTCCGAGATCATTATGATGTGTTCCGATTGATATTTCTGAAATCTGCTATCCGTTATCATGGCAGTGAAAATTCACGATTCGTTTCTTAAAACATTAAAAACGCTCACCTTTCCGCTCAATTCTCCCCAAACATGTCCGATAGCCGGCCACTTTCCGCACTTTATCGGGATTTTTGATTTATCTCGATAGTTAACGGACAGTCTTATATAGTTAATGAAATTTGTTATTTATAGTATCAAATTACAATATGTTTGGAATATGTAATACAAACATTAA